CGGCAATTCGGTAGGCTTTGCATAGCTCCAGTTATAACCTCCATCATGGGACTCTGACATGAAAATTTTGTCAAGGCCGCTAAATGATCGCAGTAAAACTCGCAAAGTACCATTTGCAGTCTGGTATGGAACAGGTTGGATCACACAGAGAGTTTTTCCCTGAATGTATATCGGTCCATACTTTCTCCATGTTCTGCCAGCATCAATAGTCATCTGAAACTCACAGGAATTTGAGTCAAAAGGGTCCAAGTCTTTTCCATGTTGGATATGTAAGTATGTAACATGTTGGTTAAACAGTTGACTCTGTTTTGATGAGATCCATACCTCCATCCACGCTCCCCAAGAATTCCAGCTCTCAACAGAAGATCCACATAGCAATGTTCTGTTTTCTAGTAACAAAGGCTGGACAAAAAGCACATGCAGCTTATATATTCAATTTACAAACTAAAGGCATTCGAATAAAGAGCTTCATTTGTTAAGTCATCTAACATGAAAAAATAAGGCTTGGATATATTTGTAGTCCCTGCAAGTATCGTGTTCTTTGTTTTAGGTCCGCCACTCCACCTGCATTTTTCTTTTGGTTTTTTCATCCATGTAATTTACAATACTTTCTTTTTTACACCAACGCCAACTAACCTCCGACATGACTTTTATGTTTTGTGCTGAAATATGTTTAAACTTTATATAGAGAAAGTCATTGAGACCTAATTCACAAATGTAGATGATTAGTTTCATTTAGCTTTAATTCCACTAATAGTTTCCCAAAAACTTATAACAAGTTAAGGTAGAAAGTTTAGAATGAACTTATGCAAATAACATTAATACCCTTTCTGAATGGAGATTGTTCGAGAGTTAGAGAGATTAAAAAGAAAATAACGTAAATAGTATTTATGAAAAGTTTAAAAAAAGATTGCAGGTTCTAAAACAAAAATGCAATACTTGCAGGGACTACTCCTATCAAATTAACTCTTTATATGACCAAACCTCAAATCTTAATATGAAACAAATGAGTCATACCTAAAAAAACAAAAAAAATGAGGCATACCTTGTTCTTAATTGGTCCTAATATACCAGGAGGAAGTTGTTCTCTTTCCTTCCACGTCATACCACCATCGTAAGATCTCTTCATGCAACCGCTCCAGCTGTATTCATCAATCACATAACTAACTCTAGACAGTATCAAAATCAAGCTCTCATTTGAAAGAGATCCACACCTAAATTTATTCACCTTTGAACAGTTGGCCCAATTTTATAAAACAAAAGTAATTCACTGGAAGGAAGCATGAAAAGTACAGGATTCCACATTGGGACACCCAGTCCCTCATCGGCTACAACAGGGGCATGCCATTTCCCATCCTGCTTAAGTAAATGAAGTAATAAAGAATACACCAGTGAAGATTTTTTATATGGTCTAATTTGGCCACATTATACAGGAAACGAGCAGGTCTATATTATCTCTCTATTTCTAAAACTGTCACTTTTGTAGGAAATTTGTGTGCATATATATACATGTTCCAAAAGTACAAGAGATGTAGAAGGATGCTTATGAAAATGTGCAATTGATGCACTTCAGATATATCTACATGACATTGGCAAGGAGAATTGTAGTCATAATGTAGTTTTTTAATCTTTAAATAAAGGGCAGCATGGTGCACATTGGTTGGATTCCCCGCAAGGTGAGGGTCCGGGAAAGGGTCCCACCACAAGGGTGTAAGAGGCAAGCTTTCCCTTGTGTTTTATTCTTTATTTTAGAAAATTTTATTGTTTCCTTAACCAGTATTTAAACCTTGTCAGAAAGTACATAAGAATATTCATAGAAGAAAGCAAGTTTCATAGTAAAAGATCACCTTGTAAGTTTGCATCCAAATCTTGACATCAGTGTCCCCCTCAGCTGTGCCGCCAAAATAAGCCACCAAGAATTGATCTTTACTGACCTAAAAGCATTTTTGAAAAAAAAAAGTAAATAAATAAATGTGTGGGTTTCATTACAATACATGTGCAATTTTGCAACCCTAACACCGTGGAACTGGGACTCATGTTACTTTTAATTTTTCGCTTTGTATTTAAAATGATAATACAAACCAAACACATATAAGAGACACTAAAATTGTAATGATCTAGACAAATTTAAAAAGATAATCACAAAAATTTTGATATGTCAATTTGAAAGTATGGAAGGACTTGAAGGGGGTGCCATTTACCTCAACAATAGTGGAAGCATGACAGTTTGTGAAGGGAGCTGAATTGGCCTCAAAGGTGAACTCTTCAACTAAGAGCGGCCAAGGGCTATTACCACCAATGTTCTTCATTTCAAAAGGGTGTTCAATCTTCGTCTCTCTACTTCCCTGGATCACAAAACCAACTATAAATATAAAGTCGTTACTTCAAAAACCAAATATTTACATGACTAGATGGAAATTCGGAATTGAACAATTTCTGCTTATGAACTGAAGGGCATCAAACTCAAAAGGGAATATTCGAAATGAAAGAATATGAAGCATGAAACCATGAAATCAAAAGATCGATGGGATAAAGTGAAAAAGTCTCTTTTAAAATGAAAAAGTACCCAAATGTAAAGACTCAAACAGACGACGCAAGAAATCAGATTGTGAAACTTCTTTATCTCTCCAAACATTTTAATAATTCCATGCAGTCTGGCCACAGAAGTGCAGGAACAAGAGGCATCTATACTTCCGATTTATCTCAAACTATAATCAACTTAATTTGGACTGTTAGATACCTCGAGTGGAAAGCAGACTAGATGACTGTTGCAAAATCTGTTTTAGAGTGTTCTTTCTGTTTTTGCTTTACAAAGTTATTTTTTTTTAACGGGCGATACTAATTAAAATTAAATACATTGAAATTAAAAAGTGTATGTAGGGAATTATAGCCCGTTCGGTGATACCAAAAAGACGACACCTTATTCCTCAAGCTCCCAACACCGATAGCACAGTTAAATGAGATGATGTAAATTGGACTTTAATCACAAGATAGCAGATAAAGAGTGAGACTCTGACCCTGTTACTTGCAGAAGTTCTATGCATTTTTTAGCATAGTAAAAGTAATTCCAAATTGAATGTACCGTTTGATTTTGCAGAAGTTGATGTAATTCTGGTTGAAGTGGTTGAATTGATTGATTATGCTGATTTATGGGGGGAAATCAAAATGTATTTTATTAATAAAATAAAGAAAAATTATGTGAAAAATAACTAAAATGATCATCTATGGTAATTTCGTCAATACTGTCAGAAAGTAACTTCTAGCTTACTTTTTTTCTTATTACTCCGTATTACACAATTTAGCGCGAGAAATCAAAAGTTACGTGTTTGATGAAAATTTGATCGATAAGCTTTATAAGCCAAAAAATATGGTCACTAAATGGGTTTTTAGTGTTTTTCACAATGTTTTAGATTTTAATCTAAATTCACACTAAAACCAAGTTTTATTGAATACTTTTTTGATCCAAAATTGAAAGCTGATAGGCTTTTCGAGAAAATTATAACAGAACACTCGAGTAGAAAATAAAAAATATACAAATATGAAGTGTTAAGAGAAATTTTCTGTTAGAAATACTGTGTCTGTCATTTCAATTACACGTCTTTTACTAGTGTTTACATAAAATGTAACTGCTACACAACATTAATGTGATATTAACTACAAAATTAATTAGCACATTGGTTGTCTCCCGACTATTGCTCTTCCGGCTGGTAGGTTAGACGCTTGAGTTCCCTCCCCGGTGGCCTGATGAGTTGCTCCCTACTGGACTGGTAGCTCGACTTCAGGCACGGCTAGTAGGCAGACTCACAACTAGGCTGATAGGGAGGCTACCGGCTAGACTCATAGACAGGCTCCCGGGTGGACTGATAGGTAGGCCCCAAACCGGACTAACAGGCTTCCATCCTGGCTGGTAGGCAAGCTCCCGTTCAGGCTACTAGGCAGGCTCTTTTACAAATGCTAGGTTGGCTCCTTGTTGAGCTGGTAGGCAAGCCCGACTGGAGTGATAGGCTGACCGTCTACCTTGTTGAACTTCCCTTTTTTGATGGGGTCTCTCGGTCCACTAGTTGGGCTATCATAAGAGTGTTAAGACCACGGATCTGAGCTTGAGCCTGTTGGTCCATGTCGTGAGTTTGAACTTGCAAGTCTAAGTTAGAGATATTAGACTCTGAATCTAGTCTCATAACCTCATCAACTCTAGTTATACGAGAGGAAGATAGAGCATAGTACAGAGTAATTCTTAAAGTATGATGCTATATTTTTTAATAAGTTTTTGCGTTTACTTCTACTTTTGAAAAATAATTATTCTAAAAATCACTTGAAAAATTGATAATGCTTAAAATGTGATTAGAAAAATGAAAAATAGCTCAAAATATGAGTGAAATATTATTAAAATTCTAAATTGGAGTAAATTTTTTTGCTTTCAAAATATGACTTATTTAGTCATGTTTAAATAATACGGAGTAATAAAAGAATGAAAATTTCTTCAAATAAAAGTTTATAGGTCTTATTTTTGTTTGAAATGATTGTACTTCTATTTGACAAACATTATCATGGTCTACTTCTATTCTAAGAATTTTCTCTTGTAAAAGTTTAAACACCTGAAAAAAAATGTGTAAAAAGAAAACAAGTTTTTTTTGGCTTAAGAACAAAAAGAATGTGTAAAACGAAAAACATGTTGGATTTTTTTGTTTGAAGGAAACATGTTAGAACTTTAAACATGGGTCAAACGAAAAACATGTTGGAGTACTTTACTTACGGAGTACGTAGTACAGAGTATATTTTAACCAAAAAATAAAACAAAACCGAATAACATTTTTTTCAAGCAAAAGTGCAAAACCATTACTTTATTGGAAAATTCTACCGTGCCTTTAAAAAAAATGATGTACCGGTACCTTACTTTTAGTGGCCAATCAAATTCTTTTCTCAAGCCACGTCAATATCCTACTCATTAGTATAATAAGTATTACTATTTGCACCATAGCCCCTGATTGTTAACTGCGATATTCAAACGTTAACAAACTGCTCCGTCAAATCCCAGCACGTTCGTTTCTTGCTGCCAAGGTCCAACCAAAAACCAACTCCTAATCCAGGAAAACCGTCTTCTTCCCTGCGCAACTCAAAGGGTGGCAGACACTGGAAGGATTCTTGTTTCCTATTGAAACCAGGAAAACACTCCAAATCCCCTTTCTTACAAAATTGAAGGATGCCCGTTTTTTATTAGCTTCGTATTCCGATAAAAAAAGAAGGCACATAAGGTAAAGATGGATGAAGAGAGCAAAGAACCTTCTTCTCACGAGCTGGTGAGTTGCTTTTTTGTACCCCCTATAACCCTATTCTTTGCATAGTTAGATAGGTGTATTTGATCCAAATCATCAAAGTCCTCAACTAATCATCAAAGTTCTGTAATTTGATTAAAATTCTATGTTCCACGATACTGTTGTTGGGCAGGGACTAGAAGAGAAAAAGTAAATTTATTACATATAAATGCTCCTCAGATAATTATTTAACTAAAAACGATAGAGAAGCTGCGAGGCTAATGTTCATCCCTGTAGTTCTTGGTTGTACTCTAGTTCTGGGCAAATTCATCCGTGTAGAAGCTCTTCAATGCTAATGTTCTTAATTTATTTACCAAACATATTTTTTATCCATCTTAATTTATTTAATACTTAATCATGTTTATAAATATCAAGATCATATTTTTGAGTTTTGACATTGCTACCAAACAACTTATAAGTTCTGCGTATTGGGAGTATTAGTAATCTCAATTTGCACCAGACACCTCCACCATAGGTATCGTCCCTGTTCGGTTCCATGGGCATCAATGGCTCTAAGGCTGAATTCTTTTGAGTTTTTAGTAATTATATTCTATAGGCAGCATTGGAGCTATTTTTGGATGATCATTTGTGCATTTTGTGTTGTTATTTTTATACTTCCAAGGTATTTTAGTATGACCCTATCCAGTTTCACTGGTATTTGATAATATAAGCACATTTTCTTACAAGTGTCTACTTTCCACAGGTCCATAAATTGACATACTTCCATGGTCTCTCGTATGAATTTGCATAAGATACATATACAATGCCTTGAAAGTATAAAAATGTACTTCCAAACTAGGTTACACCAGAATGTTATAAATAAAAATGAAGCTATCACGGGTTTGAAAGAATACCAGTGCTTAGGAATCATATTTGGAATCACTTAAGAGAGTGAATATTGCCACTTTCATCACTTAGAAAACAGAGGGCTTGATAGGACAATGTCATATATGTTGGCATTTGGGTACAAACGACTAAAATGATAATAACAAAAATTATCTTTGATCCATTGAGCTTCTTGACTTCTACTTCACCTAATATGATTAAATAAATTGATTAGTAAGATAAACTCTTACTTTGAGATGAACTCAAGAGATAAGCTCTTATCATATGATAAATTGTTGTTATTCATGTTTTTTTCATTTATTATCAGTTTTTAGAATTCACTATTGAAATTTTCGTTAACATATTCTGATTGTTTTTTGACAGGCAAATGAATGTGATAATTCAGCTTCTCTTAGTTCAACCGAGTGTAGGGATTCTCTTTCAAGTAACGAAAAAGAAGACCATGTTGAATGTAGTAAAGAACATGATACAAGAATGGAAGTTGATGAGGGTGAGTTTAAAAGGATTTCAGACTTATCCTTTGGTGAGGTATGTGCACTGCAATTTGTTAGTGAAGAAGAAGCTTATGAATTTTACACGAAGTATGCCAGATGTCATGGATTTGTGGTAAGAAAGCATAATGTAGGCCGTAACAAAAGAAAAAATGTGATTGCGCGTCACTTTGTTTGCAACAGACAAGGGTTTAGAAACCCAAAGCATTTGACAAGGATTGACAGGAAAAGAGGTCATAGACCTCTGACCAGAACTAATTGTGAAGCAAGGTTCCATATACGCTACCAGGCAAGTCATTCATGTTGGATAGTCACATGTTTTAATGATAATCATAACCATGAATTGACCCCTTCAAGATATGTGCATTTATTACCTGCTTATCGTGGTTTGTCTGATTTAGATAAAGCACAGGTTGATAGCCTTCACGGGGCTGGAATTAGAACATGTCATATTATGGGGTACATGGTGGCACAAAAAGGTGGGTATAATAGTGTTGGATTCACAAGGAAAGATCTATACAACTATTTTGGTAGCAAAGCACATGATGAGATTAAAGATGGGGATGCGATTGCAGCATTAAGTTACCTCCATGGAAAGGCAGACAACGACCCAATGTTATATGCCAAATTCTCAACTACTGGTGATGGTAGACTAAGCCGTCTTTTTTGGGCAGATGGTGATAGCAGATTTGCTTTTTCATGTTTCGGTGATGTCCTTGCTTTTGACACGACGTACAAGAAGAACAAGTACAATTATCCTCTTGTTATTTTCTCAGGATGCAATCACCATTTACAAACGACAATATTTGGTTGTGCTTTGGTCGCGGATGAAACAATTGAAACGTATAAGTGGGTACTAGAATCTTTTTTGGAAGCAATGGGAAATAAACATCCCAAAGCGGTAGTGACAGATAGTGACGGAGCTATGAGGGAGGCTATTAAACAGGTATTTCCTGCTGCATTTCATAGACTATGTGCGTGGCACCTACACAAGAATGCTTGTGAAAATGTGAAGATGCCTTCATTTCTGAAAGATTTCAAGACTGCTATGTATGCTAATTTTACACGTGAAAGATTTGAGACGTTTTGGGAAACTATGGTTGAAAAACATGGCCTGAAGGAGAACAAATGGGTTCTCAAGACATACAATAACAGGTATTTATGGGCTACATCATATTTGCGTGATCAATTCTTTGGTCGTTTGCGCACTACATCACAGTGTGAATCTATTAATGCAATTATAAAGGCATATATAAGGAAAAAATGCAGTTTTTTTGAATTTATGCACAATTTTGAGAAGGCTTTGAGAGAGTATAGAAATAATGAGTTTGTTGCTGATTTTAAGTCCCTTTATACAACACCAGTCCTAACAACATCACTTCAGAATATAGAGGAGGATGCTGCAAAAAAATTTACAGAAGAGATATTTCAAGAAGTCAAAGATCAAATCATATTGGGTTGTGCATTAATTGTTAAAGAGCGATTGGTAAATGGGGATGAACTCATATTCCGATTAACGAAGTATTGCTATCCCGATTCAGAAACTGTTGTTGTTTATCATACACGTAAGTTTGAATTTTCTTGTGCTTGTAAGCGCTTTGAGTCCCGCGGCATTCCTTGCTCACATATCATTTGCGCAATGAAAGAGGAACATGTTGACCATATTCCAGACCATTTGGTTTTAACGCGATGGTCAAAAAATGCAAAAACTTCTTTGTTGTCATCATCAAGTTCGTCTGAGTCTGTTGATCCAGATGTCATGGAGCTGGCTCGATTTGGAGCATACAGTGGTGCATGCATGACATTTTGTAAAGTCGCTGCAACAAGAAGTGAATTGTACAATGAAGTCATGGATGACATATTTCACCTTACCGAAAAGTATGAGGCATTAGAGAAGAAGCAGTTAGGTGACCCTATTGGTACAGAAGGTTCATCAGTGAAGCACATAGGTGATCCTAATATGGTGAAGACTAAAGGAGCTCCAAAGAAGAACAAATTAAGTATGAAGAGGTTGAGACATTGTTCAAATTGTGGTAGCACAAGACATAATGCAAGGACATGCAAGAATGAAAAGGGTAAACATGATAATGAGTTATCTCATTCGGATGGTGCTGAGTTTAGCATACCATCTGGTCATGTAAGTATTTCATATATGGGAGGTATACTGTATTTAATTACCATTTTAGAACCATCTTGATAAAGGATATGTCACACCTTTCATTTCATATTTATAATATACTTTGACTTTTGTTTGTTTTCCAGTTGGTGAAAGGGGTTTCTCCTTCTAAACGTAGTGGTAGCCATGATCGGAAGTCAAAGATAGCTAAAGAATATTCACAGGATTTAGATAAAGATGGTGTAAGTATTTTTACACCATATAGTGAAATTTATTAAAGCATTTGATCTTTGAGTACGTAGTCAAGATATGATCCAAGTCAAACCAGCAAGACATGAGGGCTTTTGTTTTCTTGACTAATGTAGCTCTTATCTAGCATTAGCTAGCCTTATGTTATTTTCCCTAAAAGTTAGTTGTTCTTGTTCTTCGTTGTTCATTTGCTAAGACACTGCATTTCTCCCCATGCTGTTTTTTTGTAGTCCTAATTTCTTTCTGGTATGTAAAAGTATGATAAATTGATACGTACAATTTATGACCCCTCTTGGTGGTATATAAAAGTATGCTATTTTGGAGTAAATATGACCCCTCTTTTTTAAGTGTGTATACTTTTATATTTATTGTTTTATAGATGATCAAAGGGGTTTCCTCTGCTCTTGGGAGCTATCCTGTTATGTCTCACACACAAAATATGTCTCACGCAATGCAATTTCCAAGATATGAGTGTGGCAGTTCAGGCCAAACGATGTTCAACATTCCTAGCTCTCCTGGAATTCCTTTTTATCCTCATACTATCCAATCTGCTATTCCTCCCCAAGCCTCGCAGGTTGTAATTCTCACCTCTTATATATGGTGATTATGATAATCTTTCTTCTGCTTGTGAACTAAATTTTGAACATTCTTGTTTCAGTTCTGTTTTGGAGTTCCTGATGTCAATAATGGCGTAACTTATGATTTTGATAGATCAATTCAAAGTCGTACAGACATTCCTAACTTTCCTATAGTTCCTGGGTATCCCAATAATACCACAACTGCTATGATTTCTCAAACACCGCAGGTGCTCAATGACTACATTTGATTTAAAGAAAGACCATATTTAACTTTTCTGCCCTGAATGTTAAAAATATTCCTTTCAGTCATATTTTGCAGCCCCGCCTATGAATAATCGATCATCATATCTTGGATTGCTTCAACAAGTCATGAAAAATAGTGTGCCTAAGAGTAAGTTTTGTTAGGTGCAGTTTTGTGCAAGTATGTATTATATATTTTGATACATATTTAAGAAAAAGATATGCATTGATAAACACACTTGTTTGTTACAGGTTAATCATGTTACAACATGTACATTATATTTACAAGGTAAATTGTGTGATCTTTCACACTAAATGGATAACTCTTTGTTTGGTTCTCATCTCCCTTTTTTTATTATTGGATGGTAATGATGTTTGTAATAATATTTTTTGTATGATTTAATGCTGAAGGTATGAATGATTACATCAAACCTGTAATTTGCACCATTGCTAGTTATGATACTTGACTACTATGCATTTTTCTTTTTGTGCTAGCGTTGATTTATTGTCATATGCTGATTTGTTCCAGATTGTCTTCACAAATTACGACACTTCTACAACCTGAAGGCAGAGATTAGCAACATCTGAAAGAGTGTTTTGGATAGAATGATGACACTTTCATGTAAAACGCACATAACGTCAATAGTTGATTTTGTTTTTTCTGTCTAGCTGATGTTGTGTATTTGGTGCTTTTCATAGGCGATGTTATCATTGTTTTTCAATTATTATAAGCATGGCTGAGTTATAGCATTAAAGGAAAACTTGAGCATGATTCACCAAAGATTAATGCTTATAAAAAATATGTTCCCTATAAGAGACAAAGTTGGCTTCAGTAGGAATCTTTGTAATGCCACCCCATCCACTTTAACTTATTTATATAGATATTGTCATATTGATCTCTTATATGGACAAAAAAAATCCCTAAATGCATTAACTATGATTCTCGCTATGAAGCATAGTTGATCTCTTATTTATATGTACAACAATATAATTAATACTTCCTCCAATCCTGATTGAAATTATATCAATATAGGTGATTTCCTTTTACTCCCTCCGATTCAAAAACAAGTTCCACTTCACTATTCATTGGTCAACTTAAGTCACTCCTAATAGTTTATTATATATATCAAATTTTTATTAAACTGAAATTTTCTTGATCAGGTTTTGTAGCGGTTTTAATGTAGTTTCTTAATATGTAAATTTTATTTACTAAAATATCCAAGTGTGAACATGGATCGAGTTGCTTTATCGTCAGTCAAGCATCGTAAACCGAACTGGAAATTAATTTTGAATCGGAGGGAGTACAAAAAAATGTTTCTCGCTATGAAGCAATGAATCAAAAAATGATTTAAAAAAACATTTTTGTCTTAAAAAACCTCCAAAAACATATAAAAGAGATAAAAAAACACACTCGTCTATAACTTTCTCAATTGTCAGAACACAGATGGACTGCAACAGATGAAGATAAAACAACATATCAAGTATCAAAGACAGACTAGGGGTGGGATCGGGATGATCCCGATCCTGATTGCCCAAATCTCGATCCCGATTCAAACTAAAAGAGGATCCCGTATCCCGTCCCGATTAAGTCGGGATGCCGACATTAAAATCCCGATTAAGTCGGGATCCCGATCGGTCTCTGTATCTAGGCAACAGAATGCTTCATCAGAGTCAGAATCAGAACTGGACTCTGATTCAGAGAGGGGATCTCTCTCAGCTTGCTCAGAAACGAATGCCTTCCGTCTTCTGTATTGATCTTCATGTTTCTTCTCTCCTTCTTGTCCTTGCTTCTTGGACACTCTTGGAAAGGGGCAGTTGGCCTTGAAGTGGCCTGGCTGTCTGCAGTTGTAGCAGAGGTACTCTCCATTGCTTTTTGAGGACTTGGTCTTCTGAGGAGGTCTTCTGCAAGAAGATGGACTCCTTCCATCCTTCTTCATAAATTTCCTAAATTTCCTAGCAAAAGTAACCATATACTCGTCAGATAAGGGTGTAGAAGGGTCAAAGTTATTTACCTTAGAAGTGCTGGCAGTGAGAGCAGTAGTGGTTCTCTCATCTGGCACTTCTTCCTTCTCTTCAAACATCTCGAATTCATAGGCTTTGAGATCAGAGATCAGTGTTTCTGTGGAGTAGGTCTTGATGTTCTTGCTTTCTTGAACTGCAATCACCTTCATCTTCCATGTTGAGGGCAGTCCTCTCAGAATCTTCATGTTCACCTCCTTGATAGTGAGCTCCTTGCCAAGCTCAGAAATTTCACTGATGAGGATCAACAGTCTCTCATGCATCTTAGCAATGCATTCTTCTGGTAGAAGTTTGAAGTCATCAAACTTCTTCATGGCTATGGTCAATTTGTTAATTTAATATGAACCACACAAACCCACTTTTCTTAATAATCGTGTCACTTTCTCTTGTCCCAATCTTAGTGGGACGGAGGTAGTAATATATATTGGGCCTGTAAAATCGGGTGGTCGGGCGGGTCGGGTAGGAAAAGTCCAAACCCTACCCGGACCCCTTAGCCAGCCCAGTAACCTTTGGGCCGGTTCTGACTTTCGGATCGGATAATCCGACCCTAAGCCCACAGATCGGATAAACCTGATCGGGTGTTTGGGTTGGGTCGGGTATGCTCGGAGAAAAGAAGAAGACGTACATCAAAGAAAAGAAAGTACACAGAAAAAGATTCAACTGGTCATTTAAAACAAAAAAACGGCAACACCCTGTTGCTATGTATTTCTCTCTACACACGCTTTCAAGCAGAGATCTCAAACAGTAGAAGCAATGAAATTGTCATTATGGCATATACGGGAAAGATTCTAGCCATACCCCTTGCATTGAGCAACATTCTTACGAGCTCATACAAAGACAAAAAGGACACAGGCCACACCACATAAGGACAAAAGAGTCATACCACTTCACAGCTACCAAGTGGATTAATCAACGCTCAATATTGAATCTCCATGGCCAATGGGAGATATTCATCAACTCAGTCTATAAATATAAAAGAAGTGTGGTGAGTTAAAAGTGTGAAGCTAAGAAGGAAAAACGGGCTTATACAACATTTCTAGCAAAGAAACAAGTGCTAATTTGTCACTCGTCTTCTTAGCTCACCCCACTTGACTAAGGTCTTAGACTAGCTCATTCATAGTTTACCATGTAAACTGAAATGTTTGTAAGTCTGGAGGGCTTCTTGATCAAATCCAGAGTGTAGAAGGACATGAGTAGCTCTTAGCAAGTCAATGCTATTAGTGAATAGCTCTATAGAGGATAGGAATTAGTAGCTTGGAGTGGTGTTCAAACTCCTTGTGAATACTTTGAAGTTCTTGGAATTAGCTCGAAGTTCTTAAACACTTCTTGAATACTTTGATTGTTAACTAACCCATCTCATCAACACACTTAAAGAGTCATAACCTTTTTACTATAAGTGTCACACTATATGAGGTTAAGACTTTTGCTAATAGTCTTAAAGGTCTCCCAAAAGATCTTGAAACTCAGTCTATTAGAGAGAAAACCATGAAAAGACGAGAAGATTTACAAGCCTATTCTTTCTCCCCTCTATTCTTTATACATGTGTCCGTTAGATACATTATGATACTTTTTTACTTAGATAATATAAACAATTAGTTGTATTCAAATTTTAATATATTCGATAATAACAAACGAAGCAAATACGGATATTTTAAATGATTTATTTTTCAAGAGAATATGAATACAGATATTCATCAATTTATATGAATGTGGATAGTAATATCAAGTATTTCATTTGTTTATTTATAATGTTAATTCGCTATGTTAATAATAAAAAATTAAACATACGGCTGTTTTGAGCAGATTTGTGAAAGATAAGATTATTTAATTAAGATTTCCACAGAAAAGACAAAAAACGTGGTATAGTATGTCATCATTCGGCTAGGTTCAAGTCCAACTAGGGCTGTTAACGAACCGAGCTTAGATTTGTATAAAAATTATGTATGAAGAAATTAGAAATTCAAACTGAATTGTCATTAACTTATCTTACTTATTTTAATAAAATAGCTCATATTTTATGAAAGTATTACACTCTAATTTGGGGTTATTTGCAGTGAAGTATATCAAGCATGTGATAGATAATTGGATCGTGGGATCTCAAGCCTCAACTTAATAAGGAAGTAAATCCATCCCTTAAGCTCACGAAACAAATGTAACTGCCCACTCACACCACTATGCATGTTTCAACGTAACTTTAGTCATACCACTATGCATGTTCATCAACTATCTGGCTTCGAATTTCATTACATAAATAAGTACAAATACAAGAAAGCCACGGCATTTCATAATCTTGCTGTAAATTCACATTACATTATCAATCTAGTAGTCAATTTTCAACCATGACAGGAGACCGTAAGGGGAACAAGCTCTCGAGCATAATCAGAAGAAAGCCAAACAAGGCAACCAAGGCAGCAAGTCCAGTATCTGGGAGAGGAAATGGGAAAAAGCCAAACTTGTGCAAAGGTCTGGAGAAAAACTTTGAAGATGAATTCATTTGTGTTGGAAGTCAGCCATGGATTCGTAGCTTGAAAAAACCTTCTATTATAGAAATCATTGAAATTTCTTCCAGGTATCGTTAATAATTTATTTAATTTAAAATGCCCATGAAATAAATCAATTACTTAATGTCATTAAGTAATTGGCCAGGTCTATAAGTATTTATGAAAAACATCTCACTAATTTAACTATGCATAACTGGTTTCAATTCTGCTAAAAACAAAAAATGGGGACAGAAATTTCAATAATATATTAGTATCAAAATACACATTTAATCATTATTATTTTTTGTTTCACAGTTGTCCAGAAAGCCCTCTCAGGAAAACTGAGGAAGATGAAGTAAGCAGCCCCTACCCACAAGCATCTACGCCAATTATTGGTATCAATGAGGTTGAAGACATTAAAAGTGCATTTAATAATCTGGCCAACCTGATCATCACTCATATTCCCAATATTTGTGTTGACGTGAGTCCTTCGGGTATCCCCTTTGCTACCACCAATCTAGCACCTGCAAAGCTTCATTCTTTTCAAAAAAAGGCACAACCTGAAAGCAGACTGACTGTTTTCAAAAAACTAGAAACACATGAAAGAAGTCAGTATGATACGAATATGGAAAAGAACTTGTTGTCTAAATTTGAAGAATGTGGCAACAATGATTTCTATATCAATTTCAAACCATTGCCTTCCACTCCCAGGGGCCGAACTTCAGATGGGTTTGTTATGCCAAAAGTAAGAAACAATTTCATTTTATACTCTGTTTTACTTCAATTTTATAAATATAAAACTTTTTATAATAATATACATACATATATATTTTTTGTAGTGGGCACCTGTAGCATTTAATCCTCCTTCTGGTATGCTATTGGATGAAATCGAAAAAGCTTTGATAGCTTATATTTTTATGAGTGACGAGGACAACAAACATGGGTAAGTGATTTGCATTGATATAATAACTTTAGTATAAAGGCATGTTTAATGAAATGAGTTTGATGTAGGAGTGAGATTCTTATCAGCACAGAGTATGGAATTGGAAATAGAAAAACGTTGAAAACTCTCATACCTAATGACTGGGTTGACCAAGAGGTTAGCTAAACGTTCATTAATTACTGGGTTAGCTAAACTCTCATACCTATTGTTTTTTATTCCAACTGATTTTTTAAATATAACGTGCAGGTTCTTAATTTGTTGGCATATATGCTTAAATATGGTGATCCTGCACCATATTCGACTGTTTGGTTCCTACCAACAATGTTTGCTGTATGCACACTTTACATATATAGGCGTACAAACATGTCTATTGCTTTAAATTAACTCTTAGCAACAATTTACTTATGTTGGTGTTTTCATTGTAGCAATTTGCATTGGACTGGGGTTACAAATCTGAAATT